AAGCTTGCACATGACGGATGCAGACGAGTACTAGTACGGTAGGGTGCTGCTCTTCGCAGCCTCTCAAGTCTGAACTGCATTAACAAAAGTTACGGGGTTTGATTAGGAATCAAATAGAGCTACAGTTGCATCCTGATTCGGACAGAGTTAGTACTGTAGCACTCTCGACGATAGAGCAAGTTTAAGGGTAGTTGCATGTATCAAATGCATTGTACCTCTTGAGTTGACACGATTCGATTCTTGAGCGGGGCATCATGAACAAATGACAGTGGTCTGTGTGCACTCGAGTACCTCTTGGCACGAGAGTCATGAGGGAGTACCGTACGCACAGACACATCTCAGCATGTGTTAAATGCCAGTTAATGCAACAGTACGAACACCAGTGACGTCGCCACTCGCAGCCAGTGGCAAATACTACGTACTCCTCCTGGTCATGATGAACCACCCCCGGCCGGTAGTCCAGAGAAGAAGCAGAGGCACGGAAACGCTGCACGCACGCATCATTGCCATCGTCCATCCAGATCGAGATCGAGATCAAGCGAGCCAGTGAACACGAACGGCCGGGGTGCCTGCTCATGCTCTGCGTCCCCTCCGGCCGGCTGTCAAAAGAAAAGAAAAAAAAAAAGGCAGCAGGACAAGAGCATGGGCATGGGGAGGGCGCCGGTTCCGGTACTATGTCAGCACCATCCGCCCAGGCCCATCTACTACTGATCCAGAAGAAGCTGCCCGTCGGCCCAAGCGCCAGGCGAAGCCCAACAAGCTATACTCTGGTGCCGAGTGGGAGTAGTAGATAAATAAATGTAGTAGGAACCGACGGGCAATGTAACGAACAACAGAACTCCTAAACTGAATCAATCCTTCGTCGCTGCTCTGTTCTTCCCCAACCCCATCTTCTTCTTCCCCACGACAGCCCCTTTCCCCTTCGATTCTGCTATAACATACTACTAGCAGCATATAATCCGAGATCCAGGCTCCTGCAGCTGCCAAGTTCAGTACTCCAATTCATCAATTCCACCCTCCAGTGTCCACTCCACCGTAGGGCGTCCTAAGCTTGTCGCTGCTGCTCAAGTACACACATAGTACATATATAAACCGGACCTACTCCTTGTCCATCAACATTACTCTTCTAGTACAATTCTACATGCATAGAAGAGGGCGGTGAGCTGGTGAAACACCTCAAATCTGAAAGGCTTGGACAAATGTTTGTAACGAAATAAACCAGAGCTAAGCTCTGGCTACTTCTAGCTTCTCCATGTAAGTAATAAAACCTTTTTATTTTCTCTCTTTTTATCGAAATAAGCCAGAGCTAAGTGAAGCAATTATTTTCGCTTCATCAGCTCCCAAACAGACCTAGAGAGGCATCCAAATCCCATGATGAAACAGACTCAAAGCCTGTGGCTGGCCACCTTTAAAGTGTGCCAAAAACTGGCAATGGCATTGTCATCGCCTGAGTTTAGTAATCACTCTTTGCCGATTTTCCTTCCTGTTGACCAGCACTATTCAGGCTTTGTTCGAGCACGAGCTCGGTAGAGCCTAGAGATGTCATGTGAAATTGTAGAGTGGGTGAGGGTCCACGCACTTTGGCGATACCACGGTCGTGGGTCGTCTTTGTTACACCGTTAGTCAAATGGCAATAACCCCAATCATTTGCTCCAGTGCAGGACGAGGCCTAACTGTTTCCTCACTATAGTTGGCCAACGGGCCGGCCTGGCCCGGGCCAAGCACGGCCCGCAGGTGGTCGTGCCGGCATGGCACGCTGTGCCTCCCGTGCCGTGCCCCTTCGGGCGTCGTGCCTGGTCTTCGGCCCAAGCACGGCCCTACGGGCCGAAATTCGTGCCGTGCTGGCCCGGGAAGCACGACCCAAAGCCCGGTGATCGTAAGTCACCTCAAAATTCTTCTCATCCAACAATTAGCACAGATTCATTCATTCAAATTTCAAAATCTCAACTCACAAGTCAAGAACTTCTAAGTCACAAACTGTAAAACTGATCACATATTTACAAACTGTCAAACTGGTCACAAATTCTTCTCATATTCTAACTTCTAAGTCAAGAACTAAGCAAACTCCAAAATTCTTCTCATTCTCATCCAACAGACCAACACTCAGCCACAAACTGATCACACACAGATTCTAACTTCTAAGTCAAGAACTTAGCAAACTCCAAATGACCAAATCCAAGCCAACAAAACAAAAGGCACCAAAGGAGATAAGATAAATAAGCTGTTTGTGCAATGCTGTCTCATTAAAAACCTTTCTATGTAAAACTCACCCTTGTGAGAAACCCTAGAAAGGAAAAAAGAGTGCAGCACAACTCTTAATAATTCTTCAATCATTGTTCAAAGGTCTCAAGTCACACTTGTCAGTCACAGATGACAGATACAAAATGGAGATAACAGATTAACTATCAGCAGCCCTAATCCTAGATGTACCAGCCCCAGATGAACTAGCCCCAGCCCCAGCCCCAGATGAACCAGCACCAGCAGTACCAGCAGCACCATCTGCATCATCATCATCATCGAGGTACAGATTCTTGAAGGAGTCCTCCAGTTCTTGGTTGTCAACAGTATGTTGTAGTCTGCTCTCTTCCAACTCCCAATCCTTTATACAGGCCAACATCTCCACCGTTTCAGGCAACAGGCGGCGTCGCTGCTCTTCGATTATCCTCCTTGTCAAGCTAAAACATGATTCCGAAGAGACAGTAGAAACAGGAACATACATAATATCTCTAGCCATTATATATAGGATTAGATAGGTTAGTTTGTGATCACGCCACCAGAGAAGTAAATCAAAATCATCCTCATATGCAGTGACATTGTCACTGTCTAGATAAACTGAGAGCCCATTAGCAGTAGAAGCAGATAAAGTGGGGGCACAGGCAGGGGAAGGACCAACAACAGATCTAGGGCCTCCAAAGATTCTTCCCCATGCCTGTTTTCTCTTACCTGTATGGTTTGCAGGCTATGCAACCCTTTGACTCCTAGCTGCACCAAACTTTCTCTCATATTTGTTAAATAACTTGTAAATTTCAGTTTTCACATTAGCACAATATAAAGTATAATCACAAGCAGTTCTCTCTTTAAGTAATTCCATGACTCTAAATAAACCTCTCATCTTAGCTCTAGGATCAAGAATGAATGCAAATGAATATAACAGAGGTATATGCTGCCAGTATTTAAGGAATTTAATCTTCATAGGATATACAACAACAATTAGATCTAAATAAACCTTCACCACCGTCCCCGTCCAGACCGAACAAGGCAGCAGTGTCCTCTTGGGTGTCGTCGCCGTCCTCAGGTGCCAGGCCTGCCGCGATGAGATCGTCGTTGCCAGTGACCGGCCAGACGATCTCGTCATCAACACCAGTCGTGGCGCCCTCGATCGCGGAGGGCTCTCCAGCACCGTTCCTCAACGGTGTGTGGGGCCACCTTGGTCGCTCTATGCTACAGCTAGAGGACGACGCATCGGCTACCAACCTGTGTAAAGACATGGAGGAGGAGGAAAACAGTACATCAGAATAGATCATAAACCATTCATCAATGGAAGAAGAGGGGGGTTAGGGTTAGGGTTAGGGATGTACCTGCGCAACCGGAACCCGGTGCCGGAGAAGACGAGGGCCACCCAGAGAAGATGATAGTAAGGTTAGAAGGACGGCGAGCGGCGGAGGAGGGGCACACGGGGACACGAACTCACATAATCACCTAGATCTAGAGGGAAGATAGGGATAGGGAGAAGGGAGAGGGAGAGGGAGGGGGAGGGAGGGATCGGTGGGACTTAGGAGTAGTAGGGAGCTGCTCACCGTGGCCGAAGCGGGGTTAGGGTTAGGGTTTAGGGATGTACTGCTTGCCCGGAGCCAGTCTGGGAGAAAGACGAGGACACCCAGAGAAGACGACACACCAGTTAGAAGGACGGTGAGCGGCGGAGGAGGGGCGGACGGGGACACGAACTCATAGTCACCGAGATCTAGAGGGAGATAGGGATAGGAGAGACGGAGAGGGAGGCAGGCGGGGATCGGTGGGAGGAGTAGGGAGCTGCTTTCGCCCGGCAGGCAGCGGATCGTCGAGGTCACCTCATCCAGAGTCGGGGAGGACGGCCGAGAGCGAGGCTCATGAGGCGAGACCCGAGAGCGAGGCGAGGCGAGAGCCGCGAGACAGGCGAGGTGAGGCGGCGAGTGAAATGAGCTAGGGTTTTTGGGTGTGAGCTGCCCATGCACAAGGCGTGCGTTTATATGAGGGGGGGAGGCGGGGACGGATGGACGCTTGGCCACGGGGAGGCCGGGAGGGGAGGAGTGGAGTGAGGAGGGGGAGGGGTGGCCGGGCCGTGCCGTGCCAGCCCACAGGCCTGAGCAACGGCCCAGGCACGGCCTGCTACCTCGGGCCGGGCTAGCCCAGGCCCGCATGTCACCGGGCCATGCCGTACTCGTGTCGGGCTTCGTGCCGTGCCGTCGTGCCTCAGACTGCATGGACATTTATATTCCTCACCCACCGAAATGAAATGATCATCAGAACATGCAACTGCAATACTACTAGTATCAAACGAGACCTTGCAATGAACGTCGAAGTGGGTACACTGGTACAGGCGTACAAGCCTAGAGAAGCAAAGGGACAGCACTATAAATCATTGCACATCATTACACATGTACACAGGAACACTGAACGAAATTAGTCCTCCATCGGCGGTGTCCGTATCAATCAACATTTGTATGTCATCAATGAATGACTCGGATGTAGTATGTGGTTAGTACAAAGCCGTGGAGAAGCTATCGGTGACCAAACAGAAATGACGTGACCAAATGTCACAGAGTCTTGTGAATATACACCAGCTTGCCCTGTACAATCCTCCTGGACTGTATTTGCCTAGAATGTGGTTAGTACAAAGCCCTGTACAACCAGCTGTGACGCTTTTAAGTCTTTAACCATTCATTCATGCTCCTCAATCTCGGATGGAAAACAAACCGCTGGTCCATCCTGGACGCGTCTTGTTTCCATTTCACAAGATAAAATCAGGACTTGTTATTTCCTCCTGTAACCGCTTCAGATTCTGTTTCTACTTGTTTGTTCTCCAGCTCTGGAGCTGGACTTGCGCTGGAAGATCTAGCACTGTCCCTGCCTAACAAGTCTTGTTCGCCATCCAGTATCCTGCTTGCTTCCCCAATCGCAAGGATTAGGTCAAGTTGCTTTTGCTGTTGTTCCTGCAAGATAGATTATTTATCAGACAGCAAGCATTACCTTACAGTATTAGTAAGGAAAAAGAACTGAATTATCTCCAAGTCTTCAGCATACAACGGAAATCACTGATTGCATATGATCACTGTTCAGGGTGAATAGTTTGAGCAGGAAAGGTAAGATATACCATGCCTTGGAAGGGGGGAAAATATATATCCCAATGATGCAATTAGATTTGGCATAGGGTTTGATTTCCTGCCACAGTTGTGGTTGTGGCTTGCCACACTTTTTCAGCTATGCCCCGTCGTAGAGTCATCTCTTTGCCAAACATTGTTGCCTAAGGTGTGGTGAGCAAATTGTTAAGCCACACCTAAGGCAAATTTTTCTAAGTGTGACAATGTGTGGATATTATCCAAACACGCCAAAACCATCTTGTTTGTTATTTGTTGCCAACCTTAAAGGAACTAATTTATGTGCCCAATTGGTGTGCATGCACCTATTGTGTGGCAAACTCTGGCCAACATCCAATTGATTTCTAAAATGATGGTAGTATCTTGCTGTAGTATTATCATGAACTGGGTTCTATAATATACATGTGAGCATAGGTAATAGGAGGGGAAGAAAAATCGTTAAAACCTGCTCTAATATCTATCTCAACATATCGAATACATGTGTTTATGCTAACCATATGAATGTACTGAAGTACAATGATAAAAATGAAAGCATGATAGCATAAGAATTCCTCAAATATTTGTCCACAACATGGAACATACTGCCAGTCAGCCATAACCGGCTAACGAACTATACAAAGCAGAACCACAATAATATATCTCAGCAAAGTTTTCTAATAATATAGATTACTCAAGAAATTGAGGTTTTGAGAAATGTCAAAGCAAACAGCCAAGATACATCACCTGCATTGCATAAAGAACTTTTTGAATTGCACCAATTTCTTTTTCAAGGAGGTCTTCTTGTGCAGAAAGAATACGAGTGGCTTCAGAGTTCTTCTGCGCTAAAGCCGCTGTCTGCGGAAGAAAGCGATAATAGGTGAAGCTAAATGGAGGCAATTATAGCAGTGCAAGCATGCTATGGTTTATTCAGGAACAATCACAAATCATCCCAGAAAGATTTGTGTGTCACTAAGAAGTATGACTGAAACAAATTATTGGTGTTATCTCAAAGAGATGCTTCTTTTTTCCAAAGCAATTTGTGCAAACTGAGAACAGCTGATGATATTGAAAAAGCAAACATAGTTGTCATGCGTATGTAGACCTGCCTTCTCCAAAGAGAAGATGCATAGCTACTAGTATTATTTACACCAATACAAATACACAGAAGAAACAGCCATGCTTTCATGTTACCTCCAGAACAGTTAGTCCTGACACACTTTTCTGCACAGCTTCTCCAAAAAGATAACTGTGGGGAACAAGAAAGAGAAGAAACCAAGCATCTCTATGAACCATTTCAGGTGCTTATTTTCTTACAGGATTATACACATCTAATATTTCTCAGAACTAAGCTAAAAATGGTGCAAGCCTACTACCTTAGCACATGATCATACAGACATACAACATAGACCCAGGCAGGTTGTTGAGTGAGGCTGTACACCAGCATTGTGAATCAAAAGAAACAGTAGCACTATGTTTGGCAAACAATAACTGAAGCAAGGTTGCAGCCGATATCCTGTTGCACGATAGCCTGGAGCAGTCCCCTTACAGAAATAGTAGCCAACAACCCAAATGTCCACGTCTACATACAGTTTACTGATAAATTCATGAAGAGCACTACCTTGAGGACTAAACTCAAGCACAACTACAATTTCCATCCAACATTTCATTATGTAGTTCCTATCAATGCTACTAGGTGAGTATCAACTCAACAAACATGAACACTCTATTTTTTCGCCACCTCACTTCTTGGCATCTAATTTCAAGCAATAAATCAATTAAATATTATGTGCTCTCTCATAAAAAACCTAGTAGCACACAAGAGTCTAATGAGTTGGCAAATAATTACTGTGACAAAATAAGCACTACTATACCTCAGTGATAGGGTCCCTCAACGTCCTCCGCAACACCCTAAACCTGAGGCCGAGCTTCTCGACGGTCCTCGAGAGCACAGCAATTGCCGCCACCATACCCCTGACAGTCTCCTCCACTTTCTCCACCCTCCCCGTCAATCCACCCCCCACCCCCGCAGCACCGGCCGCCGGGCGGAGCCGCCCCGACTGCCTCCGCCGTATCAGGCTGCCGATGGCCACCGCGCCCACCAAGAGCACGTACTGCAGGACCAGCAGCGGCGGGGGCACGGCGCTGGCGCCAGCCGGCAGGAAGACGAGGCGCGCAGCGCAGACCACCGAGCAGATGGCCGGCGGCGCGAGGCAGAGCAGCTCCGCAGCCGAGAGAAGCGCGTCGAGGCCGAAGACGCCGCGGCGGCCGCCGAGCCTCGGCTCGCCTGTGAAATGCCCAAGGGATTAGCACGAATCGAGGTGCGGTGCGCCGGGGGGTGAGTGTGACCGTGGTGCAAGTGAGCCGAGAGTGAGTGTGTGAGGGCCGTGGGCGTGGGGGGTGGTTACCGGACGCGTGGGCGCGAATCGGCGGAGGCCATCGGGGTCGGGGACATGGCGAGGAGAGGAGCGGCGAGGGGTAAGGAGAGCACAGGAACGGGAGGCGGAAGCGGAGGCGCGCGGCCGGGGAGGAGGAGCTGGCGCGGAGCGGCGCGAGGGGACTGGGATGCGGCAGCAGCATTGGGGTTGGGGGTGATGGTGTCGTGGCCGGGCGAGCGAGGCCACCGGTTGGAAACCAAGGAGCAAGGACCTGGTCCTGGACAGGAGAGTGGAGTAGAGGCCGGACTGGGCCGGCTCCATTGGGCTTTTCTGTGGGCCCAGACTTACGCAAACCAAAGTTAGCCCAGCATCACATGGTAGTATCTTGGTTCTTCAGCAATGCAACGTCGCAACGCTTCAATCAAATCCATCGATGACCACGAGAACAAAGGATGCTCCACGACCAGAAAGGGTAATCGGCAATTCAACGGAGGCTTTACAGGAACGGTTAAGCAACTCAGTATTACTCCCTCCGATCAATTTTATCTGGCGCACACGTATATCCAGATTCAAACTTTAAAAACTTTGATCAATAATTAGACTAATAATTTTTAATCATTATAATACAAACTTTATATGGTTAGATTTATAAGAAATTATGCTATCCAATGATTATAAGATTATAGACATAAATAATATAATATAAACCAAGTGAATGGTCAAAGTGTAATATAAGAGACCGTGTCATTCTAACTTACACTAGATAAAATGGACCGGAGGGAGTAATCCGCAACGATAGTTCAAGCTAGAAGAACTGACGCGGACACCCTTACCAGCTGAACAATACTGGCTCGTAATTTTTTAGACAGTCAGTCAGCTAGAATCACCTCGGCAGGAGCACAAGTCTGCAGAAACGCTGGACGTCGACAACGAAGAAGGTTGAAGGTAAACTGAACCGGTGCAATGTCTAAGCAATTGATTGACGTCCGGCATACTCCTATATATCAGAGAGAGCAACCTGTGCAATTACCGTCAATGCTCTTCCATGTTATGCACGTCACAGATTCTGCTGGTACCGACCATGTAATGTACAGTAGTTATGTAGGCTTCCTTATGAATCATTATGGTGACAATTTCTCCCCACCTCAACAAGGGTTTTGTTTTCAGAGGAAATAAAAGAAAAGGCTTCTTAAATTCTTCTGTAAGCACAACTATCGTGACAGGCGGGTCCAACATCAAGATCAATTTCGTCAGATACTTGCCTCATCGCCACTATCCGGAGAGAGCTATATGCGCGCAGTTCCAGTTCCACGAGATGCCAAACACCTGTGCAATTTTTGTCACATCTCATACACAAGGACTCTAGAAGCAAACCACAGATAATTAGCAGCACTGTTCGTCTACACTACTTCAGCACAGCAGTACTTTTCGCCGATCGAACAGTGTTTTCTCGGGCAACAAATCAGCATAAGCATGCCATTCACCATAACACAAGATTAACATAAATAAAAGTCATAAATAAACATCCCTAGTTAAAAAGAAGATGCTACTGCAAGCACTACCACCATATACGAACTGACTAACACTACTAGGAGTACATCCTTCCCTGCTAACAGAAGAGGAAGAAGGAACATTGGGATGGGATGCCTTCCCTGCTCGCATTAGCAATAGCATCAGCATCACTAACCGACGGTGTCAATCGCTATTGCTACGAGTCTCCATGGTCCCTCCGGGCCTTCTTCGGCGGCAAGGCGCAGGCGGCGGCGACGGTGTCGAGTAGCTGGCGCTGCGCGTCCTGCAGCATCCTGGCGTGGCGGGCGTCCGCCTCCTGCCACCCGCGCTCGATCTCCCACTGCACCTCCATGCGCCGCCGCTCCAGCCGCATGACGCCCTCGCCGAAATCCCTCAGCACAGCCGAGAGCTGCGCGCCGGCTCCCCCAGCCCCCCGCCCAGAGGAGCCCCCGCGGCGGGCCAGCTCCACGGCCTCGTCGTCGTCGTCCTTGGCCTTGACCGCCACCGCCGCCGCGGCGGCGGCGGCCTTGGCCTGGAACGCCTCGTAGGCCACCCTCTTGCGCGGGGGCGCGGTGGACGGCGTGATGGAAGAAGGCGGCGGCTGGTGGAGCTGCAGCTGCGGGTGGCGCGGGGCGAGGCCGGTGCCGAATTCCCGGATGATGCCGTTGATGCTCCGGGTGTTGTTGCGGGGGACGAGCTCTTCCTCTTCCTCCTCCTGCACGTTTTCCTCCTCTTCGTCCTCCTCTTCTTCTTCCTCTTCCTCTTCGTCGCCGTCGGCGGCAGGCGGGAAACCAGCCGCGGCCGGGTAGGCGGCGAGGGGCCCCGTTCGAGGCGATCCATGCGGCGGAAGTAAGGCCAGAGCGAGGTGACGGGGCGGGCGCCCTCGGTGCGGTAGCGCTTGCGGAGCTTCTCGAGCTTGTGGCGGCACTGGGTGCCCGTCTTGCGCTGGGCGACGACCCCGGTGTGGCGGCGCAGCGGGCGACGACCTCGGCCGCCACCTCCTCCCACTGGTGCGCCTTGAGCTGGCCGCGGCGCAGCGCCGTCCAGCGCTCCTCGTACGCGTCGATGAGGTGCATCGTCTCGACGTCCGACCACGGCTGCGCCGGCGCGCTCTTCCTCGCTAGCGCCGACGGCGGACGCCGCGGCGGGTCGTCGGCCATCATCTGGTCACGGGAGGCTCAGATCTAGATCTGGGGGCGGGCGGGCGGCGACTAGGGTGGGGGTGAGGACGAGTAGTTGGGGCGGGCGCCGCGTAATAGATGATGAGCTGGGGGGCGGCGGCGGCGGGAGGAGGATAAGGCGGGGGCTGGGTATGGGTGGTGGGCGGTTGGGTTTTTTCTGGGTGGGGGCTGGCTGTGCCATCGTCCGGGCGGGCCGCGGCGGGTGGTGGTGGTGGCGGTGTGGTTCACGTGGACGCGAGCGGCGTGCGGGCGCGGTGGATGCCACTGCCGCGCGCTAGCCCTAAGGGAGGCGGCCGCGGCCGCGGCCGCGTGGTCCCTCCTCTCCCCTCACGCCGCTGTGCTGTGCATCGCCAGCGGCCGCGGCCTCTCCTGCTGCCTGTGTCGCTTTGCATGACCGAGCGGTGGAGCCGGGCGGGGGCAGGGCCCGGTCGTCAGTCCCGGGAGCCCCGAGCGGGGGCCGGGGAGAAGCGGAGCGGAGGCTCGCTTCGCTCGCACGCAAACGAGTCGCGGAAAGGGCTTGCTCGGGCTGCGGCGGCCGGGGCCACGGGCCCGTTGGTTTGGCACGTTGGCTGGCCCTCTGCCGGAGCGGTCACCGCCTCCGCGCCACCCACGCCTCACCTCACCGGGGTTCATCTGGCGCCCGCGAATTTTTTGCTAAAAAAAACTGGCGCTCGCGAATTTGCCATGAGGTGTGCGCAATGCTCGACTCTGAAACCGAGTCCTCGGCTGCCATTATAATCTGTCCCCTATAAACCATAGTACAGTATTTTTCTCTTCTAACAAATCAACCGTACATATCAGTATTAACGGCTTTACGAGCAGCCGAACAGAACCATACAAGGCCGATGTTGGGTGACGATGGCACCGGCCCAACTTTGGAAGGACAAGTTGGCAAAAAAAAAAACCTTTGGAAGGACAGGAGGCCTGCTGCTTCAACCGTCCTAACACTGAGACTTCGTCAACTATTCACAACATATTTGGAACACGGGAATTTTTCTTTTTCATGTGTTTTTCTATAAAAGTGAACTGATGCCTATGAAATCTCTGCACAATTCCTATGTTCCAATCATGCCATGTCCGATGATTACACTACATCAAAGGCTCCACACTCAAGTAATAACAACCGTGGAGTACGTTTCAGTTGTTCTTATCAATTTTACCATCGTTGTTGCCCAGACATGACATACATAGGCAAATGCCTTTCTAGATACCAGCACAATCCACTAACGGCTAATAGCTTATACCTAATATTAGCTTAGCTATTAGTATCATTTGGATCGAGAGCTAAAAAGTATACATGTATTAATAATGTCATCTATAATGCCATCCATAATCCTCTCATCCTCTCGAGAGAACAAACTTTGCTCTCTATCTCGTGCGTCGTCCGCGATGCAGCGAAGGGCAACCTATGCCCTAGGACCGCCTCTTGTCATCCAGACTACGAGTCTGCCACCTACCAAAATCGAAGAGGTGAGGGTAGAGGACCCTCTACCCGCTCTTTCCCAAATCCCATTGCGTGATCCTATTTTCATATTGAGGCTTAGTGGCAATCCAGTGACGAGTGGAATCTTCGCAACAGAATCCTGACATTGACCGTACCCCATGCGCCCAACTCGACAACTCTCCAGGATATGCAAACCCTAGCCCATAGGTGTCAATAGATGATTAGACATCTAGATGTAGATAGATTTAGTTGTGACTTAGTTAGTTGGAGTAATGATTGGCTGATTGTTGATGCATTGCTTACTTTATGTGTAGAATTGTACTGTGGTTATGCAAGATTGAACTTAGTTGTTGATTTCAAGGCTTAATTATGTTGCTAATATTTTTATTCTAAATTGTAGATCAAATTTTATAGTTGTCTACTGAATTCCTAAATGGATTTTAACGAGTTGCACTTGGAAGTTTTGGTTCCATATACCAACATAGAAAAATCCTTGAGTCCGCCATCGGTACAAATATCGATGTCTAACTTTGATGATTGAGTGGAAGCAAACAATAGGAACACTTTCTTGTCCATGGTTGAAGTTGGCTGACCCGTGGTGTGGATAGGTGAGTGAGGTAGAATTTAAAGCAAATTGTCTATGTTGGCTGATAGTAATGAGAAAGGTTCTATGTGAATAAAACATCCACTGCATAAAAAGAAAAAGAGAGGGACCGGGTGCCCCTTGTGTGATGGTTTAAGCCAATAGCTAATCAAGACTGAAAAGGCACTCGCACAAAACCCATGGGCTTCATGGCATTTCTCTTCATTGCTATCGTTGGAGAAAAGAAGATGATTAAAGTTGTATGCAGAATTTCTTAAAGGGATACACTGTTTGTATGTTATTTGACAAAAAGGTATACATTCATGGCAGAAAGATTCAACAGGTGTGTTTTCGTATCTTGTTTACGTCTTATTATAACAATTGAAATAAGGTCATGGTTACAAACATTGCGCAATCAATCCACATCATATGATCATAAGTTCTCAATTCCATTCCACGGTTGCATCAACTACGCAAACAACAACAAAAAAGGTGATTCATGGTGCTAAAAGATCAGGAACTATGATAAAAAGCAAGAATAATGCAATAGATGTTACTACATGGTTCTGTGTACACAATATATTTAGAACAAAACAAGTATATAACACTTTTTTTTTTGTGATGCCTCGATTCATGGAGAGCTTCATAGCTACGAGGTGCACATTGCACTTACTTGGCACAAGATCCTATATATTTTTTTTCCACATATGGGGATGGTGTTTTATGACCCATAGCCATGTCTTGGATGTTGTCACCAAAATTTCAAGCAACTATACGATCAAAATTCAGCCTGTTCGGCTGGGGCTGAAACGATCGTATACGATCGTGAATTATTACTGCTGACTGGTTTGGGATGAGAGAAAAATACTATTCTGGTTGGAAATTTACGATCGTTTACGACCAACCGAACAGACCGATTATCCCTTATTAAAATGTGTATATTGTGACTATAAATCATCAACGTAGGCCTTGTTTAGTTGGCCATTTTTTGGAAATTGGGCTATTGTAGCACTTTTCGTTTTTATTTGGCAATTAATGTTCAATCATGGACTAATTAGGCTCAAAACGTTCGTCTCGCAATTTTCAACCAAACTGTGCAATTAGTTTTTTTCGTCTACATTTAATGCTCCATGCACGTATAGTAAGATTCGATGTGATGACTACTGTAACATTTGTTGGGAAAGTTTTTTGGATGCGTTTAGATGCAAATTTTTTTTGGTTTTGGGTACTGTAGCTCGTTTGTTTGTATTTGGCAATTAGTGTCTAATTATGGACTAATTAGGTTCGAAAGTTTCGTCTCACGATTTCTCACCCAACTGTGCAATTAGTTTTTTTTTTCGTCTACATTTAGTACTCCATGCATATGTCGTAAAATTCGATGTGATAGCTACTGCGCAAAAAATTTTGGAATCTAAACAGGCCCTAAACAATGCCGATTCCTACCAACACTAGTCTACCACAGTACTACTGCTGCGGCCAGTTGGAGCAGATGACCAGGGGCCTGGATGACAGAATTTTTGATAAAACGCTACTGTAGTGTTTTCGTCGTTATTTAATAATTAGTATCTAATCATAGTCTAATTAGGTTTAAAAGATTCGTCTTGTAGATTTCATCTAAACTGTGTAATTAGTTTTATTTTTTATTTATATTTAATGTTTTATGTATGTGTCTAAAGATTCGATGTAACTAAACAGTGCCTAGATGAGGAGTCAGATACACAATCTTCTCTTGGTTGGACCACATGACACGACACCAAGTACACATGACACGACACCAAGTACGCAAAGAAAGCTTTCGTTATTATCCCCAAGCCGAAAAAGGGCACCCCGACCCGGTCTCGCATTTGTGCTCTCTACTTGAACTGGTCCACGGAGCACGCAGCACGACCACCTCCATCCAGACTCCAGCAGCGAGCCAGAAGCTTCCTCCGGCACCCATTCGGCCATTCCGCCGTGTACCCCCATCTATCCGATCCGTAGCCGAAATACCCTACCGCCGCATCCCCAAAAATGCCACTCGCGCCATCAACCCCCGCGCTGCCGCCCAATCCGGCCCTCCCCTCGCCGTGGCGGGGGCAGGGGCGGGGCCGGGGCGGCCGCGGGGCGCTCCTCCGCGCCCGCGCCGTCCGCGCGGCTCCGCGGCCACCGAGCCAGTGGTCCGTCGGGAGCTGGCGGGGCCGCCCGGCGCTGCAGCAGCCCGAGTACCCGGACAAGGAGGACCTGGACGAGGTGCTGCGGACGGTGGAGGCGTTCCCGCCCATCGTCTTCGCCGGCGAGGCGCGCACCCTCGAGGAGCGCCTCGCGGAGGCCGCCGTCGGCCGGGCCTTCCTCCTCCAGGGCGGCGACTGCGCCGAGAGCTTCAAGGAGTTCAACGCTAACAACATCAGGGATACCTTCCGCGTCCTCCTGCAAATGTCCGTCGTGCTAATGTTCGGAGGCCAGATGCCTGTCGTCAAGGTAGTATTATAAATAAAATCGCCTCAAAGCTTTAGTATTGTGATCGATCGATCGATCAAATTATTTAGACATCATGCCCTCTTTTTCAGCTTAAATAAATCCTTTTTTTTTCCTCTCCGCAAATTTGTTTCCCCAGTAATTGCATGTTTGCCATTAAAAATGGAGGTATGATGGATGGAAGGACAACAAATATACATGTTACATCTGTTATTAATCTTAATAGAACACAATATGTTTCAAATGTATGGTATGCATTTCTTTGGCACAAGGAATTAAGATATATAATCAAACAGCGCTGGTTGTATTTCTAAACCATGGTCAAGATAACTTTGTATATACTATAATTATATGCATATGGATGTTTAGGTGGGAAGAATGGCAGGTCAGTTTGCAAAGCCAAGATCAGATGGTTTTGAGGAGCGGGATGGAGTGAAGTTGCCAAGCTATAGAGGGGACAATATCAATGGGGATGCATTCGATGAGAAGTCAAGATTGCCAGATCCACACCGCATGATAAGTGCCTACTCACAGTCTGCAGCAACGCTGAATCTGCTGCGGGCGTTCGCAACTGGAGGTTATGCTGCAATGCAGAGGGTAACGCAATGGAACCTTGATTTCACAGAGCATAGTGAACAAGGGGATAGGTGGGTTATCTTGAATCAATGACGATTAACCTTCATGCCATGCCGATTGATTCATGCACTTATTTCTTTAATAATATTGAAATTCATGCTAAGATGTGTGCATTTTAAGTTCACTTGATGGTCTTAGTGATTAGCTATTTGTTTACCCCAAAGATGGAAATGTTCTTTTTTCTTCTGAATCTAGAGGGATCCTGATTCGCACGAAGTGACTGCAACACACTTAATAACACTCAAGAGCTATTCAGTTGTGCCAATTCATGGTTTACATGAGGGAAATGGTGAATAGGTACATGGAATTGGCTCACCGAGTTGACGAAGCTTTGGGGTTCATGTCAGCTGCTGGACTCACTTTAGATCACCCTATAATGACAACCACAGAATTCTGGACGTCACATGAGTGCCTTCTTCTGCCTTATGAGCAAGCACTCACACGTGAAGACTCCACCAGTGGCCTCTATTATGACTGCTCTGCCCACTTCCTATGGGTCGGAGAGCGCACTCGCCAGCTTGATGGTGCTCATGTGGAGTTCCTTCGAGGCATTGCCAACCCTCTTGGTATCAAGGTAAATATTATACTCAACATCTAGCAACTCCTGTTTGACCTCTGCATTTGAAAATTGAAAAGCTCAAGGTTTAGGCATTCTCTGAGAAATTTCTCCTCATCCATTGCAATACAGGTTAGTGACAAGATGGACCCAGCAGAACTTGTGCGGTTGATTGATATATTGAATCCCGAAAACAGGGCTGGGAGAATAACCATCATCACAAGAATGGGACCTGAAAACATGAGGGTGAAACTTCCACACCTGATACGCGCCGTCCGTGGGGCCGGCCAGATAGTAACATGGGTTACTGACCCAATGCATGGGAACACCATGAAGGCCCCTTGTGGACTCAAAACCCGCTCATTCGACAGAATTTTGGTAATTCTCTTTGCTTGCTATCTTATCTCCATGTTGGACTATTTGCTTGTATTTTTGTCAAGGGTCTGTATTATTTTTGAGTGAATAGTGACTAGTCGTTATCTCTTTGTGGGGCCAGTTTGTCTATGCAGTGTGCAAGTGTGAGTTTACAAGGGACATGGTATATAGCTTTACTATACTGATCGTTTCAGTCATACTGATTGTTTTGGTCTCTAGAGTAAATAGTACAATATATCCATGAGACCATCCAATTGAATTGAAAATTGCTTGAAAAGGTTGAAAGCGATTGATAAAGAAATTTTGCCCCAATCTATTGTGCTCTCATGGATCTTTTGGATATTCCTCGAATATTCCAGCCCCATTATAAATTCTGGTCGGATAGTAGTGGTTTGGTCCTTCCAACTATCTATTTTACCATCCTTGTCAGTCAGCTGCCAAAGATTAGGATAAAAGGTTGTTGGTTGTTGTCTTGTTGCTATCGCTTAGTGCTTGGTACGTGATAGGAGTGCTGAATAATTTCTATGCATCCAATCTCATACTGGAGAATAAGTAAATGAACTATTTCTGATGGCTATGTTGTTGAAACCAGGCTGAGGTGCGTGCGTTCTTTGATGTCCACGAACAAGAAGGGAGCCACCCTGGAGGAGTGCATCTAGAGATGACTGGACAAAATGTTACAGAGTGCATTGGAGGGTCACGTACTGTGACATTTGATGATCTGGGCTCACGCTACCACACGCACTGTGACCCAAGGCTCAACGCCTCACAGTCTCTGGAGATGGCATTCATCATCGCAGAGCGCCTTAGGAAAAGGAGGATTGCCTCGTCGCCTTTGTACACGAACCAGTTGGGTTCGATTCGTCTGTGAACTGTGATAAGTTCACTGACAAGGACTAGTCCTTCGGTTTTGTTTTAGCTGCTGTGTCAAATTTTGCTGTCATATATACTGGTAAACAAGACAACCTTTTGATTTCCGGTGTCATAAAAAAAAAGGGCGTACCCAGTGCAGAAAGCTCTCGCTCTGTGCGTTGTCTGGAAAAGGGTGCCAGTGGCAAGCCATATATAAATAATAAAATGCAAGTTACCTTCTGCTCTCCTACTCGTAAAGTAGCTGTTCTAAATTTCCCTCTTGAGAATTGCACTATACACTGAATCTATCTGGTAGGTTTATGCAGTTACTGAAGTTGATAATCGGTTGAAACATGAATGAACAGGCGATAGAAGACTGGTAGTATGACCATTCAGAGCAGGAATCTTGTACTTCTGCATTTGTCTTTCAAATATTACCTCCGGTTTCTCTTCCAGGTTGTGGGTGATCAAAGAAGCCGTGTGTGCATAAATATATGCGTGCCATGTAATACTGATACAGTGTATATTCTGATTCATGAATGGACATTCAAATTTATACAAATCTGTCTACTATAGCTATGTTTGTTTTATAGATAATACAGTAGCATATTCTCGTTGTAAGGTTCGTTTTGAACTAGTCAAATTTTGATTGGGTCATCTTTTGTTCTCGTGTGTCTTGAGGGTTTCACGCTAAGTATAACGGCAGTGACAGCGGATGGACAGCCGCGCCTGCACTTCACGTACCGCTCGACCTCACGCGGCGTTCACGCCCCACCCAATGCCACGTGGTGTCTGCGCCCTCGCCTAACCCACACGGTGGCTGCGCCCCGCTTGATCCCTCACGCCCTCTTCGGCAGCTGCAGTAGGCGGCTCGTACGTGCAACTGATCTATTTTTGAAACATCCAGACATAACACTTGTAACATACGTTTGAAGACATATAAAATACTTGAAACATCTGTATGAAACACTCGCAAAAACACCTGAAAACGCTCGAAAACCATTGCAAACATACACAACATCTAGATAAAACACTTGCAACGTATGGGTGAAACATATCCAACATCCAGATAAACACACTTGAAACATATGTCTGAAAAAAAACAGATAAAACATTGGGAACAGACGTTTGCAACATACGTGTACGCCCATTGCAACATATATAATATCATAATTTACTTTTGTAACATCTATACGAAACACTTACAACATATCTCTGAAACATCTGAAACACTTGAAACATGCGCTTATAATATTTTCTTGTTGCTTGGGAGAATGGAGGCTTGTCGGCATGTGTTCATCGGTGTAGAGCTCGCCGGTAGCGCGGAGATCGCCGCTCCGTTGGAGAAGGCCGCGACAGGTCTGGTGGAGAAGGTCACGGCGGGTCTTCACATTGTGCGGGTGGAGCGCTAGCTGTTCATGGGGAGAGCTCCGTTGCAAGCCGTGCGTCGGCCAGTTCCATCCCGGGCGTCACGAGCTATGCGCGGGGGAGTTCCACCCCGGCCACAGTGAATTGGGCATGCGGAGTGCGAGATGTGCAGGGCGGGCTCCGCCTGGCTGTCGTGAGCTGCACGTGGGCGAGCACCACCCCCGACCGTGACGAGCTGGGCATGCGGAGCATGAGATGTGCGCGCCTCCACCCAGCCGTCGCGAGCTGCACGGTTGGAGCACGAGCTGTGCGTGATTCGAGCTCCGTTGTGGTGATTATTTTTCCTCCAAGCTGCCATATGACAACCTGTTCGTTTGGCCTGTGCTTGTCGTATACTGTCGGATACCAAAAAATGGGGTACCCCAAGCAAAGATCGAAAAAATGCTTAGACCCTAAGAACAGAACCAATAGAATAAACAAACGAGGTATCGGCCGAAATCTCCGATTCGCCCGAGACCCGTCATGCCGAGCCCCAATGAGCGAACGATTCTCCGACTACTTGAGACCGCCTCGCCGAGGCCCCTCGCCGGGGCCTCGGAAGAAGTGCCGATTCTCCGATTCAGCGGCGAGCTCGGCTCGGCACCACCCCCGTGACCGCCTCTTCGACCAAATCGCTCGGACCGAACGTCGCATCCAAGCGCCCAACCACTCCGGCAGACGCGACGATGGCACAATCTGGTGAAGTGACCGACTACACGCCAGTCGTGTCAACCTCCTGCCATCTGCGACGGCACAGAGCAGGGGTTACCGACCACAGTGCTTCCTAACTCCTGCGCCAAGGACATCGCATAGCGTGGGGAGTCGAGCGGGTTCCAGTAGCCTCGGAATCGCGGACCGACCGCTTGGCTCGCCCGAGCCCCCTCGGCAGGGCCTCGGATTCACCGATCTTACTCCGCCTCGCCCGTCGCCTCGCCCGAGACCCCGGAAGGGCCTCGGACGAATTGGCGCGCGCCCGCCTCGCCGGGCCGGGCTCGTCCCACAACCTCGTCGCCTCCGCCTCAAAAGTCTCTCTGGCGGTGTCACATCCGATTAATCGCTCACCGCACCCGCTTCGTAAGCCACGATCGGCGGTCTTGGCTGCAACAGGGAGCGACGGGACAACGGTCGATCACCTTTTTACCATCCCTTCGACAATACAGTATATGTCGTATCCTCGTAGGCGCATCGTCTCGCACTATTCCGCTGGCGGCGGCGAGACCCGCATCATCGCACTGGTCACTTCTTAGGCCTCGGCACGGCGGCGAGCCTCGGCGCCAATGAGCCTCGGCACGACCGACTACGATGGCAGCCGAGCCTCTCAATCCACCAAGTCAACAAATGCACAAAGATGTTACTTGCGATGGAGACCATACCGATTAGACATCTACGGAACTCCCACGACAACGCCATCTTTGCTCCGAGAGTAAATCGTCATCAAATAGTCCGCTCCACGTGTAGCTCTCTTATGTACTCTGGTTTCCTCCTGCGGCTATAAAAAGGAGGCGGCCAGACCGTTTCTAGGGGCGGCGGATAGAGTCACGAACACTCGCACGAACAACACGCCGCATTCTGTAATTCATATCACCTCCCCTCACAGAGACTTGGGACGAACTCCCTCTCTCGCCTAGCTTGTAACCCCTACTACGAGCACCCGGTGCAAGGAATACAAGAACATCTTCTCGGATCGGGCGTAGGGCATCCATTGCCCAACCAGTATAAACCTTGTGTCTCTTTGCATCACCATCCGGAATTGGGAGCACGCAAAGACAAATTCACTAGTCGGTTAAGGACCCCGGTTCCAAAACACCGGCGGTTAAGCGCGCCAGTAAAGGGCCTCTGCGTGTCGACTTAGTCATCCCACCAGATTCCTGGATGGCGAGATCCCGTCGCGATCGTTAAGGTCTCGGGACGATCGTCTAGTTCGGGAGCCTAGAATTCATGTCTCTAGGGCACGAAATACGACATGGTACTCCTCTCACCCAGAGCGCCATCAACCGACGACGACGTCATGCACGGCGTGACCCACGCGAGCGGCGCCGGCCGCCGCCCGCTCCCGTCAAGCTTCGCCAAGCGCCCAGCGCGCGAGTCCACCTAACACCGCGCAAGTCTGAGAACACCGATCATGCTCCACCGGAATCCCATACCCATTGCTTGCACAGGGGTCCTGCGACGGGACTGTCCGACTTAAGCCTCGATAGGGGAAAAGGGCCGGTGGCGCATAGCAATGCCCCATCATCAAGCTCAGTCCCGCCTCCTCCCGAGGAGCCAGCTCTGGCGGAGCCGAGCCTAGAGACAGTGCCATCCATCATACCCTTTCGAGAGTGACCAATGTCGCCGCCCCTCCTCGCCACCGCCTCGTCTCCATTCATCAACGTCATGCCCATAACCCCATAGTCACAACTCCAATCCACCCCCACTCTGACTCCTCGGAGGAGGACGAGGCATGGGCTGGAGCAGACTTCTCTGGGATTCGCGACCCTGAGGTGATGCGCCGCTTCATGATCGCGAGCGACTACTGCTTCGGCTACTCCGATTCCGATGGCGAGGACGCTTACGGCCCGGCTCGTGAGTGTTTCCACATCGGACTTGGAATGCCGAGCACGGGCAACGATGGAGGAAGGGCAGCCAACGCCACACCACCGCCAAGACGGGATCCCGCCCGGTGGCGGCAGGTGTCCCCACCCCGAGCAACCGGCGCGCCAGACCTAGAACAGCTCCGTGAGCTTCAAACCAAGGTCGAGCAAGATCGACTCCTCCTGCAGCAGCTCCGAGCCACCCTCGAGCAAGAGCAGCGGGGGCGCGGCGATGGCGGAACAGCCCGGCTAGGGCTTGTGACGTCAACCGCCGCATTAACGATGATGAGGGGGGCGAGCAACCCCCTGTCTTCAATCGCGCTAGCCAGAATGTCGCTGCGGCGGCGATACTGGTCCGAGCGATGCCCGAGCCCTCTACCACGGAGGGGCGACGGGTCCACGGTGAACTCCGGGGCCTTCTCGAGACTGCCGCGGTGCAGCAGGCCGAAAGCTCCACGTCTCGACGACGCGGGGATGCCTCAAAACAGCCCTCGGTGCACGACCGCCTCAGGGCCCCCTCGGTGCACAACCGCCTCAGGGCCCCCTCGGTGCACGACCGCCTCGACGACCGACGCGAGGCGCAAAACGGCCACCACGTGGGCAGCAGACGATGGTGCCACGACCACGATGGGGCCGCCCGGGGCTACCAATTGCACCGAGGCGGTCGCTATGACAGTGGGGAGGACCGCAGTCCTTCTCCCGGGCCACCTGGCCCTAGAGTTTTCAGTAAGGCCGTCCGCGCCGCTTCCCGGCCGGTTTCATCGGCCAAATAATCTCTCAAAGTACAAATGCCGAGACCAACCCCGAAGCTATGGTTGGCCGACTACCGTCTGGCTTGTCGGCTAAGGCGGTGCGGACGATGACCTCTCATCATCCACAACCTCCCCTATTTACGTCGGACTCAACATGAGCTCTGCTCGAACACCTTCCCCCTATGCAAATCCACGACTAGCGCGACTTGGTAAAGGTCTTCGTCGGGAATTTCTAGGGCACCTACGCGCGCCTCGGGAACTCCTGGGACCTCAAGAGTTGCCGCCAG